AGGGACTCCTGAATCTAGTAGATTACGTGGCCCATTCTAACCAAAGTTATCACGGCAGGCCATGCTTCTCGATAGTAAGGTCAATTATCATTTATAGAATAATGATCCAGTACTGCAGCAGTGCGCTGCAACGTCTTCCTTAGTGGATAACCTTCAGACAGGGTGAATATCGCTTGAGGATTCCTCAACGGCACGTCGAGGATTCTCTGCCCGATCAGACACGATCTCTCGCGCGGACATTCACACTCGCCATGGCGTGCCGTCTGTGCTCTCCGCGCGGATGTTCACTCTCGGCACTACTCTCGCATGGTAGAGAGCTATGGTCGAGGAAATCCTCGACCGTTATTCACCCTGCCTTCAGATAGAAAAGACTAGGAGTCGATGGTTAGCAAATTGTAATACTCTCCATTTTAGTCTCCATTTTCTACTATTTTTTCCAAAATAGATGCTGCTTTTCCGATAGCTTCAGCAGTATGTGACAAACATTTTGCAGAGAAACTCTCATCGAAGGACTCCAATCCCTATCGCAAATCTTGCCATTCGAATTGGCCACCGATACTCGCATCTATTACAATGGCGAATTGAGTGTGAGGGTGTGGCAATAGCTGGATGTCGGTTGTTATCATGACGATTTCTGGAGCGCCAAGTAGGCAAGAGTTGATGGTGATTGACGATAACAGCACACCACGTGGTCAGGTTATTGCGGAGTGCGATGTGATTGATAAGTGGAAATGTTTAGGTAAAATTTGCTGCTATACTGCCAGAATGATTTGGCTAGAATTTCCATTTCCAAGCAGATTTCGATCGAATGGACGAGTGGAGACTGCGATACGAGGTATGATTCTTGAATTGCAATACAAGCGCGTTTGAGTGAGTGATCGTTTTCTGCGTTATCGCTTCTCTAGAATCGATATGTGATGGGGCCACGTATCTCGGGACGACGACATTTGAATTCACAGCGCCACTTCTTCCTTCCAAACTCCAAGAATGAGTATGCCTTCATGAAATCCTTAGCAACAGCGACTTGAAGAGAGTTGAAGCTTTCAAAAATAGTACAGGAGTGGAAAACTTCAGGGATTTCAAACTGAAAGCTTTGATGAGTTTCATGTGAAAAGTCAAATTTAGCGTTGGAGTCTCTCGGGTTAGTCATCAGTTCTATAAATTATACTTTATACCTCCGTACCTCTGGTATAAATCCCATTTTGAATAACTTCAACGGGGTTGGATTGTTGACAGCTGCACGAAGCGCATGCGCTTCGGACCTAGAGACAAACGTATCCCAGTATGGTTGCGTAGGTTACACAGTGACCACGTCCGCGTTGAGGCAGCGCGACGCGCATGGGCCTCGCACCATATCATTTCTGTGCATGTGGTACTTCATTAGGGTCTCATCCAGTAAGGGGGCATAGCGATCTAGAGCATTTCAAACCATGGAAAGCACATTATTTTATTGTAGACGTTCAGGACTAAGCCCTAGAAGGGAAGGAGTCCCCGGATCCGTGAGCAATCTTGGTTTTCCCCGGGGGACTTCCTCCCCCTCCTAGGCTTAGTCCTGACCTGCTAACTAGGTGAATTTCACTTCTCGTAGACGTTAATGTCATCTAGTACAAGAATACATTACACAAAACACCTGAAGAAATAACATAGGAAAAAAGCTGATAGCAGCTCGTAACTTTAAAGGACTCCTTGAGCCAAATTGGCATTAGAGCAGACCGTGCACCGCAATGCCCCCTCTTACCGGATGAGACCCCTTCTTTACTTTAGCGAAGGTTCTCCAAGTCCAAGACGCGCATTATGATCAACTTTTAATGAACTGGACTGTTAAGTAGGGCATTTACGTTGATCAAGCCCTTTCTGAGGTGCGCAGCTCTTGGGTGGTTCGGTGAGTATCCGTTGACTTTGTTGGAAAGCTCAGAAAATTTGTGAGTGTGTGTCATCACAGTTGCTGTTATGTGCTGCACCTACCCTCCACCTACCTTTTATGCTACAACGATTCGTCTTTCTATTAGGTTCCGGCACATGGTGTAGTTTGTTCCTTGCAAGGACAATTGAAGCTCTCCTGTTCGACCACATCGGTCTCCACAAACCTCACTAAGCTCAATCTGCAGTGAAGAAAGTATGGGAACTATTAAGTGGTTTGCAGCTGGCCCAGCTCTCCGAATCCGAGTAGACCCGCTACAGTGGGAAGGCACCGACGAAGATATGTCAAAATACATCAAAAACTTCATCATCTTTCCATTAGGGGTCATCATAAAGAAGTCGACTCATCATGTGAGCTGGCTCGGCGCACATCGCACAACCGACCTTGCATAGGTTTAACCAGCTGGGCTTCGGAATAATACTGCGGGCGTCTTATTCAGTAGACTTTTCACCTATCGGGCGCTATCATTTCGGGAACTGAATAGCTTTCGTAAAGAGAAATAATTTGAAGCTCAGCATGATGCTTAAACGACGTTTGCGAACTCATGCCTCCAGGATGTCGCTTGCAGTGCTTTCTTTTTCGGCTGAAACGTTTTGTGTGAGTTGAAATATGTACAGTTGCGTTTTTTTCTTCTCCCTAGCTTAGTCCCGTGCAGTCGCACGGCCGCTTTTCTTCATGGACCTCACAACTTTGCCCTTTCCAAGGCATCTTCTGCTGTGGTCCCTTTTAGATTGGGTCGTTCTTCAGCGCATACCGCTACCACCGCAGTCACTGTTCCCCCACCTTCAGTTGGACAGGTGCTGTCTGCATGACCGTTTGACATCCTCATTTTTGACCGGTACAGTCGCACCCAGGCGTAAACTCATTTCAGCTTCTTTGGAGGAGAACTGTCTCTTGTAGTTCCTGTTTAGGAATTAATATTCGCTGCCATATAGCACCGTTACTGTTGTCCGGGAAACCTTTCCTTCGAGCGTCTAGTGCAGCTTCGATGGTAGAGGATTCCAGGGGGCTATCTCCACTTCATCCATGCCGCGTAGATCTATGTCTTTGCTACACGATTCACGCTTTCGTCAGCGAAAGGGTTGCTTGGAAACTTGCCAAAATTCTCCATTCGAAGCTATCGCTAGCATCCGCGATTGGCTCTGAACTCTCTTTAGAGCTCAAGAACTTACAAGAGAAGGATGGTAGGCCGAAGTGGCCATTTGAAATGAGCTGCATATCACCTTAGAAGACTTTGAACGCGGACCTCTGCTATATCTGCTAAACGATTCTCTGAACAAAGCTACAGTGTTTGTTGTGATACGGAGCAGACCCAAGTTCAGCAGGAATATGATACGCATGCACAGCTGGATGTGGAGCGGTGGCCCAGTGGATACTATGCCGGTCTTCGTGTGTGCAAGACCAAGGGTTTGATTCCTCCATGTAGATTGTTCTTTGCATTTTTTTTCAGAAGATGCTCAATGCGTTTGTGAACCACGTTCGCACGCTTAGGAGTCTTTTTCTAGGTAAACTGCTCTTCCCAAAGGAATTGGACAGTTCAGATAATTCAGTCGTGGATTCTTCTGATCCTCCTTCCCTCTAGACACCAAACAAGTGAAACCTCTAAATTTGTTGAAAACTACTCAAGGGGGTCAACTGATATGTTGAGGAAGAGCCTCACAAGTATTTGGCATGAAACCCGTACTCTCCCACTCTA